TATATATATATATAAACTAATGAAATGGTCATAGTTTTTCCCAACATTTTAACAACTAGTTATGCTGAGCAATCTACAGAAAATGACTGATGATTTAAACTTGTTCAAACCTGTATCACAGACTAACAAAAAGCAGCTCTGATTCCAAAAAAGCAAAATTATTTTATATTGGAAAGTGCCAAAAATATAGTTGACACACTCACATTTATTCTGCATACCTAGAAGCTATAGTGTTTATAAAACATACCTTCCTGCAGCCTGATTCCAAAGGAGACAGAGAGATTTATGTGGGACAATACGACTGTCCAAAGCATAAATTCGATAGATAACCTCATTGCTATGTTTCAGTGGGAGTGAGCTCTGGCCTTTCAAACTTAGTGAAAATATCTGAAATAGCAAGCACAATGTAGATACATTTGAAATTAGAATCCGGTGGTTAGTGAATAAATGTAATTGTGTACATCTACTTCCTGGAACGTACTATGACATGCTCCAAATATTAAAAGTTTTTTTTAAAAAAAAATCAATATTGAAAACAAGCTCAGATCCTAACAAGAAGCTGCAGTATTTCCATACCTTGTTTTTCAGGGCAGGTTCTTTATTACCCGTTGCAAACCACTGCTGGCTGCTGTATTCTGTGAACTGCACAAATTTACACTTCTCATCCCCAGGAACAGAAGAGGCAACAGAGACCTCCAACAAGCGTTCAGGAACCTGGATAGAATCCCCCTCTTTTCCATCGAACTTGTGTCCGTTGATTTGCTGAGGGTACCAGTGGAGGGCCATAATTGCAATATATGGGCAGCTGTCAAGTATGGTTTTACCTCTATTGAAACAAAAAAGCAATAGTTCTGTAAGTGGAACAGAAATATATCCTTTCACTACAGGGTGTGCAGTAGCAACTGCTGTATTTATGTTACTTAATACTTTTAACCTTTTATAATAGCTTTTTTAAAAAGAGATCTAATGTCTGCATGATTTGTAGAAGAACTTTGGTATTTGGTAGTTGGTTAAGCCAAAACAGGTAAGAGAGGTGGCTTTGCTGTCCCCATGTAAACTAAATCAGAAGGGGCTGCTTTATAAATATCTGGAAGTCATTATTTTACCTCAGTGTTTTGCTCAAGACTGATTACAATTAACATTTGTCAGAACTCCATTGGTGCCTTGTGGCTACTATCCCAGCATCTTGGTTAAAAACTGAATCTCAGGATAGGAGAAAGATAAAACGGGAACTGGTGTTTTTCATTTTTGGCCTAGGACATATTGCATACAGGTAGGAACAAGCCTGTGGGCTCAGTTCATACTTATTTTAGTGAATGCTGCCAAAACTTTTTTTTGGCTTTTTAGTTCGGGTTTTTTTCTGGGCATTTCACAGTTCTTATTAGATACACCTGATGCTCTCTAGAACAATGCATCTCTGGGGAAAAAATCTGCCTCATCTGTTGTATACAGATAGACAATCTGTAAAATGGAACTACCTACACATGTATAATTCACTGTATTCAGATGAATGCTCTAAATGCCTACTTCTGCAGCTAATCATTGGACTTGTTCAAGAACTAGGGACCGTGCATTTGCAAAAAAACCCTGAATATATACACACCTGGGATATAACACCTTAAAATTGTGTTAAAATAATGTTATTAAATGCAGTCAAGCATTCTAAAGTCTAGGAAATTGCACTAGTTTAGGAAATTGTATAAACTAACTTAATTAATAACTAAGGTTCCCAGTGCAGGCTTAGTCCTACTCACTTCTACAGATACACTAGCATATGACTAATTGAATGGGTATGCAATTTTTGTTTTCACAAGTGCAGTTAGGGACCAGTTCTGTTACTGAACTTGTGGAAGCCAATTAAGGCCCTACATTTTCTGACTTCTAGTCATATCCCAACCCTTACAATATCGTACCGACAGCATTCTGCAGTAATAGTACATAAATGAAACTGGTCTATAACCATAACAGAACAGAAGTTTGGCACACAGACTGGTGTAAAAATGGCAGAACCAAGTCTGGTTGCCCCCCCATCACCAAAGGGTAAATATGTATTCTGTTCCTATCTAAACTACACCACTTACAGAAAATTGTGAGACTTATATTGATTCTTTCTTGGTTTTTTTAAGTATCTGTACCTAGCCTATGAGAATATTGTAGAATGGAGTACATCTCTATAGGAACTGTGTAATATAATTGGTAAGTCATCATCACTAAGCAAGTCTGAATGTACACTCCTAATATATTTTAATTCAGTTTTCTTAAGATCAACAGTACATTGTCCAGCACTCCTTCCTCATACTGTGAATTAAAAACAATTTACTTTTCTCCAGATGATCCACATTTTATTTTGGTCAAGAGGGAAAAGGCAAACTTCTCAGTAATTTCAGCTAGCAGACTGTATCCTCTTGTGTCCTTACGCTTTGGGCTAGCAAGAGCACAGAGTATTTCATAGAACAGACTTCGGTTTTTATCAACGAGGATCTGTTTTTCACCTTCAGCTGCTACCTAAGTTGGGAGGAAAAAAAATGAAAAAGGTAGCAGAAACAATTATTGCTTTAATTTTTTCAATTGAGAATTATTTCTGACAACACTGACATTATGCTTACCTTAATTCCTAATTATATTTATACTGAGAAATGTCATCAAAACTTGGAAAGACAAGGTTTATTATTAATAAAACTTTTTAATATTTAATTTTTGCCCCAGTCCTACAAAAATCTCAGTTATGGGCCTGCATAAAGCTCTTTGTAAGTCTCAGGGCGTAAACTGAAAATTATTTCTCAAGCTAAGTAGTAACTGACATATAAACTAAGGGAAATTGCATTTACTTCTTGTTTGCCCTTTTTAGAAACACACTTCAAATTAAAAGGTGATTTTAGCCCATTTGCAGTTATGCAAATGTCTCATGTATGGTTTTATTTTCAGTCACATTTGTTTATGAAATGCATTTTTCATTTTTTTTTATTTACTGAATTTTGCTGCAAGCATATTTTGTATTTGCCAGCATAACATATGAAACACATGCTGCTTATCAGGGTATTTACTGCAATGACATTTAGTATAATTTTCAATTCTCTCTCATTTTTATTCTAAAGTTTTCATTTTTTCATTCTCCTATCACTAACATCAAGTTATGAGACAGCTACTGTCAGAGTGATGTCATAAAAATGTGCATTATAACAGTGATTTGACTATTAAAGAACAAGGGTCCCTGGCAGATGTTACACTTCCGATGCGATTAGTTTAATTGTGTCTTAAATAGTTAACTCAATGACATTTTCAGGCAATTAACGTCTCTACAAAAGGGGAAATTAGCCACAAAAATACTGCACAAAAAATTAGTAATATTATTGTCATTGGTTTCAATCATGCCTTAAATTGAATGTGTGGCAAGGTTGGTACCACAATGGGGTCTCCAACCGTCCCAAATGAAGTCCTCACAGCTGACAATCAGCTGGTTGTGCACCACGGTTTGTTTGAACCAGCTCTGGTGTGGTTCCTAGCAGCTGACAATCAGGTGGCTCCAGGACTATATTGGAACGCAAACTTGCCTCAATTTGGTCCCTACCGGCTGATGATGATTGTCAGCCGACTCCTGGGACTGCGCAGAGGTCAGCTGGAGCCCTAATGTGGGTTCAAGTCTAGAGATAATCATTTGATTGTCAGGCACCCAGCTTTCAGCTTGCAAGTAGGACACAACTGGGATCTGACCCCTGAACCTAAAGTAATGTGTCCTGCTATGTACATGTAGCATGGCGGAAGGCCAGACTGTGGGGAACAGGGATCAGATCCCATTGCACCTTTAAATGAATGTCTGGGGCATTTTCAACTCTTTCAAAATATCATCTCTCATACCTGGCTTCAGTATTTATCTTTCCCATTCTAGTCTCAAAATATCACCATTACATGAAATGAACTGTTGCCTTTAATCAATCCTTGCAGTACTTGGGAACTTGAGATGAAATATTCAGGTGCTTAATGATCCCATGTGCCACTGGAAAAGTATAAAGGAGCTAGGCAAGCAGCTAGACCAGATCAGCTAAGAAAATCCAGCACCTGCAAGAAACTCTAACCTACAGCTATGCAGTTCTTATGTTGATTCCTCTCCCAGAGACAGTTTAGAAGTCAAGGGAACATTGGAGACTTGACTGTATATTATAACTATGTACACTTCCTTAGGGAAGGTTAGAGCTGCCCGCAAAGGCCAAATCAACTAGTGCTCAGTCTAGAACCAGCATGAATCAAATAGGTATAATAAGCTCTCTTACACTACTGCACTAGATGGAAATTTAGCACAAAAGAGAATGTGGGTTTTTTCAGTACAAGATAATTCTTATGACACTGTTAACCTTTTTAAATAGGTTTTGAATTCTTGGTAAGTAGCCACCATTAGCTTAATGGCAAGCATATGTCTTACTGGCCTCTGATATCCTCTCACGTTTCCATTAGCAACGTGAATGGAAAAATTAAATAGAAATTAGAATGGAAAAAATAAATAGAATTGTAGCACTCTGCCTCATCTGGTCAAAGCTGCTGATTACCATTTTGATCTGTTCACAACTCCAAGAGTTATTACACCCTTATAGAAGTCAGCAGTCAATTCAGAGGGGATATATAAATATTTACCTTATCTATTATGTGCATCACAGCAGTGAGTTGCTCTTCTGTAGTTTCTGTGGCTACTTTGATGTTTACATTCTGGAGGACCCTATCCAAAATGGTCTCATCAAGTGGTTGGTACAGCTGGTCCAACAGCCCCCATACTGACAGGGACTCTGCATCTGCAACAATTGTGATGTTGGCGATACCATATGTATCATCTACTCTGGCACCTCCTGTAGGATTAGAAAGTATGGCCTGGAAACATTTAGGAAATGGATTTAAGGATCCTGTTTCTGGAGTCAGTGTTATATCCAGCACAGAACTTCTCTGTCCAGGTTCAAATGTCAATATGCCTTCAGATCTAATAAAATCCTGTCCTGCAATGGCTGGAGATATGAAGGTGTGATATGAAGTTTCAGGTCTTTTCAGCTCCTTAAAAACCAAACAAAGAATTCCAGGGTAACTTTATGATAATGCAGACAGCTCAAAACTAAGGGACAGCTCTAAACAAAGGAACTTTAAATGAACAAAGTATTTTTTTTTCTAAACATAAAAGTAAACTTTTAAAATCAGTGATAACCTGGAGTATACGCCTTACATATGCACTTTATTGAAGGGCCATGGGGCAAGAGAATGCAACATGGACTATAATAAACTGGGAACTTGCTTACACAAGATGCTAAATTCTCTCTCTCTCTCTCTCTCTCTCTCTTTCTCTCTCCTGTAAAACTTAACTATTAAACAGAAAAGTGAAAAGTTGAAGGCTATGCATATTGGATCCAACCCTCCCTGATCTCTCTCAGAGGGATTCATGGATTTAGGTATTACAGGACCTTAAGCAATATAAGGCTAGGGTCAAAGAGAGCAAAACTAATTCTACATCCTCCACACACCAGAAATTCCATGCAACTTCAAGAGCTCTTGACCATATTTAGTGGCTTAACAAGGAGAGCCATCAACTGAAGACAGAGACAGTCATTGTAAATAAGTAAAAAACAAAAAAAAATTAACCTGCAGGTATGCAAAAGAAGATGAATTCTAGAAAAATGTATGAGGAGCCACTAGAATTCAAACATAAAGAATATGAACGTAAGTGAAGAAATAGCTAGTCTGCAAGAAAATTTTACATACAGATATTTTGAGATCATGATTACATGGGTTCCTTGCTGGGCCTGGGACTGACACTAAGCAATAAGCCCCACATGTATATTCCTCCTTCTTGAAAATACAAGCCCGTCAACTGGGCAGCGTACATGATGGGTCCTAGTACTACTCTCCAGCACTCTGTCTTTGACAAGCCTGAGGGCAACATGGAAAAATATGATCAGCACCCTTCTTAAACCACCTGCTCAACCAAATTGTCACATTCAGACATGGGTGGTGTGAGAGTGAATGAGCAAGGCTTATATTTTGTTACCAGTATCAGATTCATCAAGAAGCTGTGTACACCTGACCTGAAAGCCAGAAATAGCTGCTACAGCTATTAACATGCTTAAGCAAATGGGGTTGACAAGGCAAAACCTGGACTCACTCACCACCTCACCCAGCATATGTATTGCTTTGATCTAGCCATCTTACACATGGTTCCTTGCTCCTTGTTAAAAAGATCTTCATGGTGCACAAAAAGTGCATGTTGGAGGTTGGGGAGAGGGAAGAGGAAGCACCCCATATTGCCCAAGGTCCTCAGTCTTTTCATGTCTCTTTTCATTACAGAATTTCCACAGGGATAGCATTGTTTATGGTTAGGAAGGCAGTAGTAGGCATAGAGCTGGTTACTCAATCTTCATTAAAACAATGAGGCATGAAAATGCTACTTAAGTTAGTTCATTCATTCATTCATTCTATATACCACGCTTCCCAGCGAAGGCTAGGATGGCTTTATAATAAGAGAATGGAATAACTCATAAAATTGTTTTAAAAAATAGTTCTATAAAACTTATAAAATGGGAGGAAAGCAAGGCTAGGGACAGCAATTACATAAATGTGTATATGTGATCAAAAACCAGTTCAAATCTGTAACAAAACAGAAGTTCAGTGCACATAAACTGCTTTCAAAATGGCCGAAACTGGTTTAACATATGCCTGAATGGATGTAGTACCAGACTGAACTAATTTAGGTTAAATCAATTTATTGAACTTCTGCCCCAGATCCCCTCCAGATTTAAGTTAAACTTACAGTTCCCCAGCATCCTAGGATGCTTTCCACCTCCCCCACATACCACCCCCCACCACTGCAGGGTGGATAGGTTAGCCTTGGCCCAAACAGGGACACACACTCTAGTGTTCTCTGGCTTCTGGCGTGGGCCACTGCAGGCATGTGGCAGCATTTCTGGTAACAAAAGTGAATGTCTATTCACCTGCTTTGTGGTTCAATCTATGCAATTCAATCTTCTCAGACTAAATTGAAAAGATTGAATTGATTCGGCCTTGGGCTTTTTGACACACTGTACTGAGCACAAGAAAACAAAACAACTTACAAAGGAACTAAAATATCAATGTGAAAGAGGCCCCCTAAACAGTATCTCAGTCTAGCATCGTTTGTTAACCATTTACCCAAACAAAGGACTTACAGTGCTCCTGAAAAATGTCCAAACTCAGCCCTCAAGTGCAAGGGAGTTCCAGAGCCTAGGACTGATCACTGAGAATAACCCGTAGCATTTTCTCTACGTAGACTTGGCGTATTGATGGTACTTTCAGAAGGTTGCTCTCAGCTGACTTCAGAGATCACAGTGGGATTTAAGGGGGAGGTGGTCCCTCAGATGCATAGTTTCCAAACTTTAGGATCTTAAAGGTTGAAAGAGCACCTTGAATTGTGCTTGGAAAGCTACAACTTTTTTTTTCCCCCTGAAATTGGACTGATTTTATCATTTGCCACAGAAAAAAGAACAAGATAACTGACAATTTTGTTTCAGAAAAAAATGTAAGATTTTCTTTCCAAAAAAGAAAAAAAGAAAAAGAAAGAATGTGTTTTGAAATGTATTTTATGATATCTCCTCTTGACCAGAGCCTTGTAGGTTATTACAGTTAGGAGGAGAAATTGCTAACAAACATGAGTATTTTTTATGCAATTTTATTTATTTAGAAGTATAAAATTCTGCCTCCTTGAACACAGGAAGAATCAAACCACTGGAGGAATTTCCATCCCTAAATCCCTATGGTTTCTTCAGGCACAACCCTTACCCAAAAACCTAGTATGAACTTCTCAACAGGCCATGCAGCAGTGGTTGTATCAGTCTCTGTTTCATTACTCTGTTTCTCTCCCAAGCTGCTCTCCTTCACGTGTATTTTAGTCCAATAAACAATACTCCACAAAACTACTGCATCCAGCTCAAAAGTCCAGAGCAACCTTTCTTTTGATTTCTTTTTTTGGGGGAAAAAAGTGTTTAATGATCAGATATCTTAAATAAAGGCTACTGGCTAGGCCTATGAGTTTCCATATGGCTACATCAATCATATATCTCTTATTATTAAATGTTAACAGATCTATTGATGTTTACATAATTACACACACACACAGACTTATATGAATATTATACTTATTTTTACGAAATTCAATGGCATGTAGCAATAAATGCTATTTTAGGACATGTAATGTTATACACTACTATTCATTCAGTAATGTTAAAATACAGAATTAAAACAAGTTTTTAAATTAAATTCATATAGAAGTGAAATTCAAGTAATTTCAACAAAAATGTTAAGCACATTTGTCAGAACTCCTGTTTTGAAGAAGACTGCCAAATATTTGTTTTCCATGGCACTTCAGCATAAAATGTATTTAAAATATTCCCATTAAACATAAATCCCAAGTTTCAACCAGCTCTAAATATGAATTTTTCTTTTTTAACTTCGATTTATTTTTGTAGCATAAAATAGAGACAGTATTAGACTGGAGCCCTACTCCTGCCCTGTCAGATGTCACAATAATAAAAATAAATTATTTTCTAATGTGTTCAGCCCAGCCGTGTCTGAGTTCCTCACCGACAGCTTTACACCAAGGAGCTTTGTACTGTACCTGAAAGGAGGTAATACTTAATATCACATTTTACAGATCACAAACTGACACAAGGAGGTTGTTCAGTGTTACACAGGAAGCCCATGCTTGAACCAGGAACTAAGCCATGATTGTCAGTTCAAGTCCAGTGATGTAACCATAAAACCAGTCTTTCTATACCTTTAGAAGGACAAACATGACACAACAGAAATCGAAGACAAACCATGTTGGATTTCTGTAGGTGCACTAAACATCTTCATTTCCTATTAAGGTATTACAGTCTTATCCTTCCTTGTGTGTGGAAATACTGTTTCATTCTTCACTGCTTTCCTTTTTTGCCCTACATACATACACATCCAGAGCCATGCATACACAGAAACTAAATGCTGAGCTACTATTCAAATTTACAATAAAAACAACTTCAGCATTATATATCAATAACAACTTAAAGCTTCCTTCAGGCAAATCTTCTCTGTCTCTGCAGTAGAAAAGAAATCCTTTTTAATGTCAAATGGTAGATCCATTTGGAATGCTATTTGCACTGACTAAAGGAATATACTTAGTGGGCAGCAGTAACATTTTTAATTTTTCTCAGCAGATTATTGAAAATCCTTGTAATTGCTCATCAGTACAGACTTGTCTTTCAACAAAATCACCATCTTTGCTCATTATGAGCAAACTTGATTTTTATCCTTTCCAGTTGGGTTCCCAAAACCAATAGGGATGAGAGAAATAAGTGGGGACAAAAATTAATAACAGTGAGCAAAGGAAATTCAAAGAAATTGTGGGAAGAAGGCCAAACTCTTCATTGTCCCTGCACATAAACAGGTTTAAGTAATCAGAAACTGGTTTAAACCTGTAATAGAAAACAAGTTCAGTGCACATAAACCAGTTTCAAAATGGCTGAAATTAGTTTAAGATAAACTTGGTTGAATGTAGTATCATAGTTTCATAGCTGATAGGGTCAGCAGGGACCTGAGCAGATCATCGAGTCAGACCCCCTGCCATGGCAGGAAAGAGTACCGGCGTCAAACGACCCCAGCAAGGTGATTGTCTAGCCTTGTCTTAAAGACCCCCAAGGTAGGAGCCAGCACCACTTCACTTGGAAGTTGGTTCCAGACCCTAGCCACCCTGAAAGTGAAGTAGCGCCTCCTGATGTCTAGTCTGAAATCTACCCTCTGCCAGCTTGTGACCGTTACTCCTGGTCACTCCTGGCAGTGCTTGGGGGAATAGGGACTTCCCCAATGCCTGCTGATCCCCCCTGACTAGTTTGTAACAGGCCACTAGATCCCCCCTCAGCCTTCTCTTCTGGAGGCTGAACAGGTTCAGGTCCCATAGCCTCTCCTCGTAGGGTCTGCCCTGCTGCCCCCTGATCATGTGAATGGCCCTCCTCTGGACCCTCTCCGTGTTGTCCGCATCCCTCTTGAAGTGCGGCACCCAGAACTGGACGCAGTACTCCAGCTGCGCCCTGACCAGTGCCGCACAGAGGGGGAGGATCACCTTCTTGGACCTGCTCGAGATGCCTCTGTGGATGCATGACAAGGTGCAGTTGGCCTTCCTGACTGCATCCCCACACTGCCAGCCCATGTTCATCTTGGAGTCAATGATGACTCCAAGATCCTTTTCCACCTCTGCACTGGCAAAAAGGGAGTTCCCCGGCCTGTAGGTATGGTGCTGGTTCTTCCTCCCCAGGTGCATCACTTTGCACTTGTTGGTGTTGAAACCCATCCTATTCTCATCTGCCCACCCTTGTAACCTGTCTAGGTCTCATTGTAGCCTATTGCTTCCTTCTAGCGTGCCCACATCCCCCCACATCTTAGTGTCATCAGCAAATTTGAACAGGGTGCTTTTTAACCCCTCATCCAAGTCACTGATGAAGATGTTGAACAGTGCAGGCCCGAGGGCCGAGCCCTGCAGAAACCCACTGTCCACATGCTTCCAGGTCAAAAATTACCCATCTACCACCACTCTCTGGGTGCAACCCTCCAGCCAGTTGGCGACCCACTTGACTGTGTACATGTCAACACCACAGTCCCCCAGTTTCTTAATGAGAACAGGGTGAGAGACAATGTCGAAGGCCTTCCGAAAGTCCAGAAAGACTATGTCCACTGCTACCCCTGCATCTAAGGATTTGGTGACCTGGTCATAGAAGGTCACCAGGTTGGTCTGACAGGACCTGCCTCTAATGAACCCATGTTGGTTGCCCCTAAGCATAATATCCCCTGCTGGCCCCTCGTGGACATGTGCCAGAATAATTATCTCAAAAAGCTTACCCAGGATCGAGGTAAGACTAACTGGCCTATAGTTTCCCAAGTCCTCCTTCTTACCTTTTTGAAGATGGGAACCACGTTGGCCCTCTTCCAGTCCTCTGGCACCACACCAGAGCACCATGAGTGCTCATAAAGCCATGCCAGGGGTCCTGCAATGACCTCAGCTAATTCCCTCAGCACTCTAGGGTGGAGACTGTCCGGACCAGCTGATTTCAATACATTCAGTCCCTCCAGAAGTTCCCTGACTAGATCCTCACTGACTCAGACTTAACTGATTTGAGTCAAACCAGTTTATGAAACTTTTGTCCAAGACCCCTTCCTGGCAGATATTAAATCACAGTCCCCCAGCATGCCAGCATGCTTTCCAGCCCTGGACTAGGCTATGCTGTCTGCTCCAGCAGAGAAGGGTCATGGGGGGTGACGGGGTGGGGAGCCAGGGGCTGCCCCCCAAGCAAACCTTTGCTGGGGTCTGGGGCCATGGAGGGAGGTTAAACTTCCCTTTCTACAAGTGTAGAGCTTCCCTGCCCTGCTAAAAACTTAGTGCTGGCTGTGACTGTGGACTACAAATCCCAGAGGCACCTGGAAGCAAGAAGAGGAAGCAATGCGCAACCTTGCAGAGACCTGCTGCTATAATTCTGGACTGCAAATCCCAGAGACCTTGGGGGCACCATAAAGAGGAAGTGAACAAATAGCTTGTGCTAGCTACATGTCATACTCTAGTGCCATACTCTAGCGCCCCCCAGCTTCTGACCTGAGCCAATGCATGTATGCAGCTGCATTTTCTGGATCAAAAGTGAGCGTCTGTCCAGCTGTTTCTCAGTTTAAACTCTGCAGTTTAAACTAACCTTCAAAGTCTGAATTGATTTAACTTTGGGCTTTTTGACCATTTGTACTCAGCCTTATTGACCTAAATTTTGTGATACTCTCTACGTGTTGAAAATGCCTATAGTCATTCCTTCTACATTTACCAGATTCCTGACAGTGGGACTACTATATTTTTCCTAGTAAAAATCTGAAAACTTGCCACCATACAACCTGGCTAGAACATGGGGACCAGCTACTGGATAACAAATTCATGGAAATAAGGAGATACATCATGATTAGTTAAACAATGCACATGCACTATTAAAGAATAGAACACACAACTTTGTATTAAGACGCAATTCAGGAAATGATAAGATAGAATGATAAGATGAGGGCTTCTCAGATAAGTAATCAGTTCATAAGATACATAGACTCAAGTATTTGCAATCTACTTGTAAGGAGTTGAGAGGTAACATTTTCTTTGTGTGGAAGGTATCTGATAATACTATATTTCAAGGGTTCTGCTGGTCACTTGCAGTTGCTAGGAAGAATTTTTCTGCATTAATACTTTATCAGCTCTGATTTTTTTCTTCTCCTCACTTTCCTCTAAATTACTGCACATTGGCCACAGCTTAAGGGACTGAGGTATACTGCTGCTTCTGCTACTATTTTGAAACTGGCCAGGTACCTAGAATAAGTGTCTTGGCTCTTCTGCTCAGGAGTCAAGGAGATCACCAGATGTGGGTTTGAAAAGGAGTTTTTCCTTGGATCAGACTGGCAAGGACTGGAAATAGCAAAGGAGTATTCTTGTATTGTGTCAGCCACAATCCTTTTCCTAAGATCCCACGAACATGTGTTAAGCAAGGCAATGGTGGTGCTTTTATCCCCCGGTCTGTTTTGGTTTTTTTATCTATGGAGTGCTGATTTAGCTTTTATAATGTGGTTGAGGCTATAATGAGTTGGATGAACTGTTGCCTGAAAATGCAGGGGATTGGATTCAGTAGCCTGAGGCCCCTTCCAGAACTCTGTTTCTGAAATATGGAAATGAATGTTCATTTGCCAAAACATAATGCTTCAGTAGCAGAACTCCTCCTCAATGATCACTGCATACCTGAAGCTCAAGTGCTAACCTAAACATCCTATACCCTTCTCTTTTCCAACTCTAAATAAAAAGGGTATTTTTAAGTCAGTATTTCAAGGCTTTGACAGTCCCCAAGATATTGATGAAAGTATTTTTTTTCCTAAATATTCTTTGGGCATAATTAAAGGTAGGAAATAAGACAATGCAGTTGGTTAGGTATAAATGCTGATGTGATGGAACCCCAATTTTAAAGGGAGAAGGCTGAGGGTTTCTTAAAGGGAGAGTTTCAGCAAAAACCTAATCTAGTAAATCAGCTAATGCTTCAGGATTACTCCTTGAGGTCACTGAAGACCCCTTGCACATAATCACTTTGATGATGCGATCAAAATGAAATCATTTTTGTAATGGAAAAGATGCTGGACTAGAATGGAAATAATGACTGTTATTATAAGTGAATAACTTGAATAGCTCCTCGAAAAAGTAATCTAATGCTAAGTACACTAGCGTATGCTTTAGAACATGGTTCTCAACCTTTTTTGTACCAGGACCCATTTGTCAACATTGATGGACAGTCCCAACCCAATAAATAGTTTAAATAGAAAACAGCCCCCTGACCCTGCCTGTGCACCTCAATCCTGACCCCAACTACTGGGGGGGGGGGGGTACGCGGCATGGGGGGCTTCAAGCAGCCTATGATTTCCCACTTTAAAGTTTTTCTACTTTAAAGGAGAATCCATTTTTAAAGTTTGTTGATCCATTTTTAAAGTTTGTTCACAACTCTTTCATATATTGTTGCAACCAACTTTCGGGTCATGACCCACAGGTTGAGAAATGCTGCTTTAGAGAATAATGAAGATATAGCACTAGTCTTACCTGTGTCCTGTAGCCAACCGAGATGGTGAGTGCTGTGCTAGAATCTCTGACCACCTGCAAACTGACTAAAGTGTTTTTTTTATGAGCTACAGCCAGACGAGACCCCACAGCAAAATATATCAGGCCACGAGGAGAATCACTTTCTGGGACAGTTATGTAAGCAAATCTGGCACTGTTGTTCAATGCTGCTCCTGAGCTTACTTCATACAGCTCAACAAAAAAATAAGTTTCAAATTCAGGTACCTGTAAATAAATAAATATTTCCATATCAGTGTTATGTCCAGCAATACTAAGAGAAGCATGTGCTAAAGAACATATTCCTTTTATTTTGTTTGTTTGGTTTTTGTTTTGGCGGGGGGGGGTTAGAAAATTATTATTCTGTTTCGACAGTAAATTCCTTGTGCTAACGGTTATCAGAGTGATTCGTCATTCACATCAAAAGAGGATGAAGTGCTATCCTAAAAGGAATAATGGTGAAAGGAAGATAAATATTTCATAAATTGTAAAGAAACCTTATCATCTTCTTATACCTTAAACGTATAACAATCAGTGCATGCCAAGCCATAAAAGTGAGCCTTAAGGGCCAAATTTTCAAATTAATTCCATGTACAAAGTATAGATCTTGTGTAGATTTTGTCCTCCAATTCCCTTTTTACACTAGCAAAAATGTGTATAAAAGTATAAGCTACTTCCTACTGCCCCTGGAAAATGTGCATGCATTAAGATCCTTAACAAGGGTCAAAAACTCCCAGCTCTTCCAAACTAGGTGAAAAAAAATCTTACTAGTCTCTCATGAGACTTCTGGTACTTCCTATGCAGTCTAGAAATATAAATGCTGCATTTCAGTAGTATGTGACAGATTTTGTTCATTCAACTCTAAAAACTTATTTTTTTAGCATTTTATTGAATACAAATATAGCAAATATAAATGATTATTTTCTTAAAAAAAACCCATAAAGATGTTGGTTCTAATCTCATAGGATATAATTTTGTACCCACAGTCCACTGTGAAACCAAATTATCTAAAAGATAACCTAATTTTCTAACTATTGGGTAGTTAGAAAGCTCTAATTTTATTCAGGCACAAAACTAGAGATAACAACAATTCTTGAAAATGTAGACCTTTTAGGATCAGAAAAAATACAAGCACTGAAAATTACAGAGCTTATTTTATCTCAGTAGATTTATTTTTTAAATCTAGTTTGGGGGTTTATTTCACCATGAAAACAGGATCTAATAGTTAGCCATCTCAGTCAGTTAAGCTGAGTTTGAACCAGACACTGTAAATAACTAGGCCCTGCCGCACACAAATTCATACAATCAGAGACAAGTAAGCCTAGAAGGGACCACCAGTGGTCATCTAGTCCAACCTCTTGCCTGAGGCAGGGCAATCTCTATCTAAACCAGGGACAGGTAAAGTCCAGCCCGTGGGCAGGATACGGTCGGCAGTGGATGCCCAACTGCCCCTGCGAATGGCTGGGGCCGGTTTCCCAGCCACAGCTGTGCGGGAAAGCCATGCAGGCAGGGGCTGCTGGGAAACGCAGTCCGGCTGCTGGCCAGATTGGCCGTTTTGCCCACCCAAATCTAAACCATCCCAATTAAATCCTTCTTTTAATCTATTACTAAAATGACAAAGGCAACCCAGCCACACAGCCATAAAGCACAAGCACCCTAACCTGCCACTGGTAGAGCAGGGGAACAAAGGTAGCCAGTGTCCCTCTACTGTCAGCACTATTAAAATACACTTGAGAAATCTAAGGAGGAGGGCATCCCTCCCTCCCCCACCACCACCCCATTACAGAGGAAATCAAAAACCCACACAGCCTGTACCAATCTGGCCATAGGGTAAAATTCCTTCCTGACCACAAATAAGGCAAATCAGTCTGACCCTGAAGGCAAGACCCTCAAGCCAACAACCTCAAGGGCTTAATCCAGCAAGAGCACTGGCACATCCCAGTGAAAATCTCCAGCCTTAGCTGCAGTCAACACCCAATGTTTTTGAGCAAGACAACCACCCCTCCCTCCCTCCCCCTGACAATTGTAGCAACAAGGGGAGGGGGGATTTCTTCTCAGCCCCATGTGGCAACCAGCAAAGCCCAGAAGCATGGGAAATACCCATAGTATAGCACAAGGATAGCTACTCTTAGATGGTCTCTGGCTAAAGCTTATCCAACCTCTTCTTCAACACCTCCAGTAATGGAAACTCCACAACTCCCATAGACAGTCTATTCTACTGCCTCATTGATCTAACCACAAAGAACTGTTTCCTGATATCCAATATAAGCCTACTGGCTGCAACTTCAAGCCATTGGTCTATGTCCTGTTCTCTGCAGCTAGAGAGAAAAGATATTCTCCCTCATTTTTATGACAACCCTTCAGATATTTAAAACATCTATCAAGTCCACTCTTAAGCAGCTTTTCCATGTGTTGAACATGCCTATTGCCTTCAACCTCACCCACTATGGCTTGCCTTTCAAGCTCTTTATCATTTTGGTCATCCACCTCTGGACCCTCTCTACCCTCTCCATGTTTTTTTTTTTAATATGTGGAGCCCCAAACTGTACAAAGTACATTAAATGAGGCCTAACCAGTTCACAGTATAGAGATACTATCATTGTGTGTCTTTCCCCTAATGCTTCTATTGTTGCAGCCTCAAACCCCATTTGCCTTTCATGTGACTGCATTACACTGCAGACTCATATTAAGTCTGTGATCCGCCAAGACTCCGAGATCCTTTTCTGTAATGCTGCCAACCAGCCAGCTGTCACCAATTTTCTATCTGTATTTTTAGTTCTTTTTTCTGAGATGTACCACCTTGCATTTGTCAGCATTGAACTTCATTTTGTTTGCTCCAGCCCAGCTTTCCAATCTGTCAAGATCTTTCTGAATTCCTCTCCTGTCTTCCAGTGTGTTTACAATCCTCCCCAATTTCATTTTGTCAGAAAGTTTGCTTAAGAAGCTATTTTAACATCCAAATGATTAATAAACATATTGAACAGCACAGGGTGCAGGACATAAATCCCTGTTAGTTCTTGAAGGTAACAATCTAAAAAAAAAAAATCAACATTCTTTCTTGAACCTAGCCGTGCATTGAGTTAGCACAATTAATGTGCACCAGTTTCTGTAGCTCCCAATACTCAAGGGAGCAATATGTCAGAGTCACATCTGGCCACTTGGACTTTCCAGGTCTGAATGATGAGGTACTTAAGTACAGCTAAGATGACTAGAGCTGGAAGGGTGTAGGGAGGGAGGGACAACTTTCAGAACAAACCTAGAGTGAGGCTCCAGATAATACCTCTGGATCTGTGGAGATATCTTAAATCACTCTGCCACTGCACCAGTATTATATTCATATTAATCTCTAATGAAGTTAACATGTAGAAGCAAAACATAAAACCATAGGGAATGGTTTTCCTTATTATACTTCTTTTTATCAGCGTTTTAAAGGGAGGATGTTATGAATAGTTTTCTAAACTATACTTTTTTGTTGATTAATATATAAGGATAACTGCTATGCTTCAACATTTGAACTAATGTTTTGGACCAACCAAGTTTAAAGATCCCAATGTAATGTAGTAGCCTTTGTTACCAAGGTTAAAATTTGTATTGGACTCTATTTCAACAAAGAACACACATACATGCTTTACTTTAAAACACATGGTAGAAACATGCCTATATGTTCTATATAACTAGATGGAATTACTCAGGTCACATACTACTGTAAGGAAAGGGTCATGGACTAAACCTCCCATGGTCCCTCCATCATTATTTTCTGAGTCTGCAAACCATATGCAAGTGTTCTGGTGCATCCCAGTTGCAATCAGGGTTGCCAACCCAACACAATTTTTTTTTAAAGAAATTTTGACAATCTGTAAACTTTTTACTGACAACCAAACTTTTTTCACTGACATGCTTTTACATAATACAGATGTAACCCTTCTACCAGACCATGGATAAGAGCTGGGTTCAAAGCATAATGAAAAGACTAGTTGGCAGTAAAAAAAAAAAAAAAAGTGTGGATTATCATTAAAAAAAATATTTAAAAAATAATTCTTGGATTGGCAACCCAACTTAACTACAGCAATGGTTTTACACTGTACTGCCCCCACCCCAGAAGTCCCTTAATTACCCCCACATGCTGGTACTCCTGACTGCACCCTGCACAAT